GATAGCTGGAAAACTTTCAGCCACGACCGTATTTAGTCATAGGTGGGGAGGGGGAGTGCAGGGCAAAGGCGAAAAAGGAAGAAAAAATAAATGTATATGCACTTAACCGTAGCTGAGATCCGTGTACTCCCAACGTACTGGTCTGGGAAAGCCTCAGTCCGAGATCACGTGACACACAAACCAAAACAAAACCCTTTCCCTTCACTTGGGTGGACACTGGCTGCTTTCATTCATCTCGATCCAAGAATCATCATGTCAAGTCATGGCTCGGTCCCGCTGCAGGGCCCTGAGTGGCTGCAAAGCCACGGCCGTGGGTGGGAGACTCTGTCCCTTCTAAGCCACAGCTGCCTGCTTTTTTTTTTTAAGCCTGTTTCCTTTATCAAGATAAGATAAATTTACAGACAAAAGGAAATTTACAGATCGCCCAGAGGGGAAGGAGAAGATAAGAGTGAATTGCCCAATTTAAAATAGGAAGGAACGTGGGCAGAGGAGAAAGTTTCCCTGACCTCAAAAGCTGAGCCAGGTTCCCAGCACCCTGAGCAGCTGCTCCGGACCGAAAAGTCTGGGGCTGATATATTGTAACCGGACGTTCTGCTCACACCTTCTGAGGGAGCCAGAAAAGGCAGAGAAAAAAGGCAGAGAAGGCTCATGAAAATAAGTACAGAGAGAAAAGGATGTAGAGGTTGGTTAAAAATAAAACGTATCAGATGAGAATTAAGTCCTGAGAATGTTATCTCTCTTCACAGGAGGGTGAAAAAAAAAAATAGGCATGTCAAGGAGAAGCAGGCCACAGGATGAATAAGCACAAAAATAGGAGGAAATGACCAAGCAAACGTGCCAGCAGGCAGGGGAAGGGCCTCTCTTGAGGTGCTAACTTTCCAGGATTAGGCAGATAACCAAGGGGAAAGAGACATATTTTTCCCTCTATACATGTTTCAAACTGTTTGCTTTTGGTTTTCCATGTGCATTTATTCCCTTTTCAGAAAAATAAAGATCTTTGGAAAAGATTCTTTTTTTTTTTTAATCCTCACCCGAGGACACTTTTACATTTCTTGTTCAGATAGAGCAGGAGAGAGAGAGAGAGAGAGAGAGAGAGAGAGAGAGAGAGAGAGAGAGAGAAACATCGATGTGAAAGGGACACATCAAGTGGCTGCCACCCGCACGACCAACCAGGGCCGGGGACAAACTGCAACCGAGGTTCATGCCCTTAGCGGAAACCGAACCCGGGTCTCTCCGGACGCAGGCTGACATTCTAACCGCTGAGCCAAACCGGCCAGGGCTGGGAAAGATTCTTGGGAATTTCTACTTCCCAGCATTTTCTTTTTTTTTTTTTATTTCTTTTTTTATTTATAAATTTGTTTTGTTTTTTCCCCATTGCCCCCCTCCTCCCCACCCCTTCATCCTCAGCTTTGTTGTCTATGTTCATTGGTCATGCATACATGTATGTAAGTTCTGTGGTTTATCTCTTCCCCCCAACCCCCCTCCTCTGAGGCTTTTCAGTCTGTACCCCACCTCTATGTCTCTGGGTTAATTTTGTTCAGCAGTTTGTTTAGTTCATTATATTCCACAAATAAGTGAGATCATGTGATATTTGTCTTTCTCTGATTGGCTTATTTCACTTAGGATAATACTCTCCAGGTCCCTCCATACCATCTCAAAGGATAAGAGATCTTTCTTTCTTACAGCTGCATAGTACTCCACTGTGTACATGTACCACAGCTTTTTAACCCACTCATCTACTGATGGACACTGGGTTGTTTCCAGATCTTAATAATTGTAAATAGTGCTGCTATGAACATAGGGGTACATATATTCTTTCTGATTGGTGTTTCAGGCTTCTTAGAGTATATTCCTAGAAGCGGGATCACTGGGTCAAATGGCAGTTCCATTTTTAACTTTTTGAGGTAACACCGTATTGTTTTCCATAGTGGCTGCACCAGTCTGCATTCCCACCAGCAGTGTACTAGAGTCCCCTTTTCTCCACACCCTCGCCAGCCCTTGTTGTTTGATGATTTGTTGATGGCAGCCAAGGTAACCTGGTCCCCAGTGAATGACTGCATCAAAATGCAGATGCTGCCCTGGCTTATCTGCAGCTTGCTACTTCTTCCTGTCTTCACCCAGGCACCTTCTCACCCCCAACCCCCACCACCACCACCACTCCCAACAGCTTTTCTGAGATCTGGTTTGAGTTTGGGCTGCTCTCAAAGCTCTCTTCAAAATGGGCCCACCACACCCAGACCCTGCTTTTTACTCCCATTTTCCCAGGAGCTCACAAATGATCAATGGAATGCTCCTTCCTTTCCTACATCCCAAGTCACCTTCTACGTCTACATCCCAGGCACCATCATAAAGGATATATACTGTTTCCCCCTATATAGGCAAAAAACAAAGACTACTTGTTAAATTAGTTTTTAATGACCCAGTATTTATCTGCTCCTAAAATAATGACTGTCTCTCCACAACTGCTCCTTAAATCCATCTGCAAAATGGTGATGATAAAACACAACAGCTCTAAGATGTTTCTCTAACTTTAAAAAGTGAATCATAAAATGGTCTTTATACATTTTCTGAAGAACCTCAGCCCTCAGGAGCATGAGCAGCAACGCTTTCCAAAAAAAGCTGACTTTTCCAAGTGCTAAGTTTATCAAAGGTCAAACAAACAGGATTCAAGTAAGAAATCTGGTGCTTTTTCAACTCTGTCTTTCATAGTATTTTGGCAAAAGTGCTGTGTTTTAAAGAAATTAAAATGATATCCTTCTACAGGCCACCTAAAAAAGATTAGGTAGAGGTCACCCAAGTGCCTTTGAGAATTAAACATGTTTTATAAATCTCCACTCAGTATCACCCAGAGGTGATAAAGGTATTTCCTGAGATGGCAGGGCCCTGCTCGGTTTCTTCCCTTAGTTTCCGTTTACCAGATATTCTCATTTGTCAGTAACAGAACTCCACCGACATCTCAGCTCTACTTCAAGCCCAAATTGGAAATGGTAGGTGTATAAAGAAGAAAAAGAAATGTCTCCTTTCCTCCCCAAAAGTGCATCGACTTAGGGACATAAGGGTGGCAGCTTACACACTGGCTAGATGTCCCAATGCACTGTGGCCCACTGGGTGGTCTCCAAATTGCACCTAGGAAATCCAAATCTGTTGTCACTTCCAGGTGGCCCACACTGCTTAACTCTGCCATATTGGTGACAGCACAAACCCTATAGCTCAGGCCCAGCATTAGCCCAAGAGGCCAATGTTAGACATATACCCAAAGTTCCTCCACAATCTTGTTCCGCGGGCAGAAAATATCCTATTGCAAAATCACGAAAGAATTCAAATATGAACTTGGTGTTTTCTGTTCACATGGTTTATATTGACAATTTGACTTTCCTTTAGGATGTTGGGCATGAGACTCTTGTCAATGATCAAAACATTATATAAAAACATCGAGCAGCCAGCATTTATTTAAAGCTCCCTCTCTCCCAGCTCCACTCATTCCCACGTTTGTTTGGCATCTCCTCTGCAAATAGCAGACACCAAAGATAATACTGAGGAGTTGGAATCTTGAGTCAAATCCTGGTGCGCCACCTCATCACCGTGTAACCTTTGACAAGCCACCTAACCCTCTGAGGACAGTTCCTTGTCTGCAAAGAGGAAGAGCTGCCTCAGAGGCTGCAAAGAATAAACATGTGAGCACCAAGCACAGGCATAGCATACAGGTATTCTGAGTACGTAAGAGTCATCTTACCAATTGTTTTATATTATGACTCTTTAGCTACTGAACTTGGTCTTGCAACTGTAAAGGAGATAGGCCGTGATAAATCCAGCCTCTCAAAGGGCCTATCCTATCAACACAGTGAAACAGTAGCATGTTTTTAAAAATCACATTTGGTCTTGGCCGGTTTGGCTCAGTGGTTGGAGTGTCAGCCCGCGGACCAGCGAGTCCTGGGTTCGGTTCCCGCTAAGGGCATGTTCCTCATTTGCTGTTTGTCCCCGGCCCTGGTTGGGGTCATGTGAGTGTCAGCCAGTCAATGTGCCTCTCTCACATCGATGTTTCTCTCTCTATCTTCCTCCCGCTATATCTGAAGAAAAGTGCAAAAATGTCCTCGGGTGAGGATAAAAAATAAATAAAATAAAAAATCACATTTGGACAGTAGATCAGGTTTGAAAGTAGATTGGATCTCTAAGATAAAGGAGCATATATTATCCAACAGAGTTCAACTGTAGCCAGCTTCATTTTGAAAAGAACTATTTATTCCCACTGTTTTGACAATAGTCACTGACTACCTAGCTAATCAGTATTCTTGTCATGCCATTCAAGAGATTCAAGACTGAAGCTAAGTCAATTTTGTACTATTTTCATTTGAAATAACTTTACCAAGAACATCCCTTGTGCTTGTCCTCATAGTTATCAAATATAAAAGTACCTGACATGTCCAAAATCCTACTTTACACAAACTGCTGACCCAGCATGGCATTGCTCATCCTTGCTTTCTGAAACACAGGAAATTTGAAGAATGAATGGCCAAAATAAATTCGGATGGCCCAGCTGCTAAAAAAAAACCTGAGTTATTTAAAGAAGGAAAAACAAAATCATGTCAGAATGGATAATTTGTGATTCAGACAGTCTAGGGTTTAATTGGTATTAACTACTCTACTGAAGATCTATTTAATGCACTTAGGTAAGACCTCTTATTTCCACGAAATTGGATCTTTGGTTCAAAATTTAATCTCCTGCCAAGGACTCTGCAATATATAGGTGACGTAACACTGAGGTAGGCTCTTAATATTTCATTGCCAGGAATATAAAGAAAATTGATTAGATTATTTGACAGATAATATTGCTTTAGCAAGGTTAAGTCCTCCCCTAAGTGGGCTGTCACAGAGAGAAGCAAAATAGCAGACCCTATTATAGTTGTATTTTCCAGGTTAATCTTCCAGAACTCAAATTCAGCCACGAAAAAATCAGTGCATTAAAAGTTGATTTGATATATAGTTTATTAGTTTATAGGACCTTCGTCTGAAAGGAGCAAGCAAGGCTTAAGAGGTCCGATATTTTGGCAAGTCAAACTATTGACCAAGATGAAAGATACAAGACATATTATCGGAACACGATTATTTCTTCAGAATATTCCCACTGTCATTCTTATGATGTTAGTAATCATGGGGAAAAAAAAATCTGTTACAATTTTAAAGAATATAAAATTCCTGTGAAACAACCTCCTTTCTTTCTCTCTTAATGAAGTTGTTCAAAATTGTGCTGAAGGAGGAATGTGCTCTACCCTATATGAAGCTATTCGTGTAAGTTATTCCTACAGTCCCAGGATACTCAAGGGCAGGATTCTCCTTTGTTCAATTTTCAGGTTCACAGTGGTCAATGACCTGTTCAAACAGGTGAACAAATATGAGATGACACGATGACCAAAGCTTTCTAAAACTCTCAGCCTAAATGTGTAAGTCGACAATGAGTGATGTGTGTAGAAAAATTCTAGCGTGCCCTTTCTGCCAAAGATGAAGAAAATTAATCTAATTATTGACATGTGAAGGTAGGAAAGTGAGTTAATTCAGAAGTATGTACTGAGTCTTTACTGTGTGTCAGGCACTATTTTAGGTGCTGGGAATACATCCCTTTGGTTAAAAACGTACAAAAACCTCTGTCTTTTTTGAGCTTACACTCCAGAGGAAAGATACAAGATAATAAACACAATAAATAAGAAAATTACATAGTAAGTGAGAAGGTGATAAGTACTGTGGAAAAAAAAGAGAGAGAGCAGTTATGAGAATGAAGACATGTCTTCACTAGACATTTTCTAAACCAGAAAAGGAAAAGAAAATTTTTTTTTAATTAGCTTCTTTCTTTCAAAGTCTATATATCCATAAATGACCAAAGAAAATATTCCTGGGTCTTGATAGTTCAAGGGATTTTCAAGCAAGTAATTAAGGGATTTTAAAAATTTGAAAACTAGGAAGAGTAGCTTTCATAAAGCAGGCACTCGGTGCGGAGTTCTGGGATCGCTGCGGCGGCGGAGCCTCCTCACAGTCCTCGCCGAGTCTGTGCTTCTGGCCACACTGTCGACCTCAGTGGATCTGGAGAGTCGAGTCTGTTGAAAAAGGCAACTCAGGACAGGATACGTGAAAGAACTCAAACAGCTTTTCACGATTTTTTGGTTTTATTTCCATTTCCTTTTTTAAACACAGCACCCTAGTTGTTAAAATCATTATTATTTTTTTAAAGGGTGAGCTCATTAGAAAGGAAAACAGAAAAACGAGAATGTCCACATTTCCAACTCCATATCGCTCTCAAAATGTTCAAGATGCACACACGTTTGTTGTACATCGGCCAATCCAGGTCTTCGACACCAGTGTCAGAGATCGCTGACTCTAAACTACCAGGTTAAATTTTTTTCCCCTTTGCTTTAAATTCAAATTTCATTTCAACAAAGCAACCAAACAATTAATGTCTAGTGTTTGCCTCTCAGGAATTCAAGTAAGAAGTAAAATAGAAAATAAATGGTGTTGTCATTTTTTTTTTTTTTAAATCGGAAAGTCATATGTTCAGTGAAATGGGGCAAAGGCAGAAAGTCCAGGTTGTAAAACCAGGAATAAGTGTCCGCCCAGGGACACTTATAGATGGATGACTGTGACAGCAGCCCTTTCTAGAGGTAATGATGTCATCAGGTTGTGTTACTTCTCCAGAAGCCCAACAGCCCTGGATTAAAAACATCTGGAAATTGTTCAGATGACACAAACTCCTGCTTCTTGCTGTTAAGCCTTCAATGATGCCTCTCTGTGGCACCTGTCACCGTTGTTTCTTCTTTGCAAGCCTCCTCCTTTCAAATCAGAAAGTGTACATAAAGTGCAAATAAAATTCATTCCCTGCTTCTGGGCTCTCATTTTGATAGGCAGTATTACCAAATCTATCCGTTAAACTGCTGTCCAGAGAGGTGGTCTGCAGGTATTTTCTGAGTTAGATAATGAGTTCATCTGGCAAAGAAAGTGTCGAAGGTGGATGCAGTCTGGGCAAGAGAACACGGAGTACCATTTGCAAGACAGGGATGTGACGATGGGAGCAGCAGGGGGTTGCTCATCACCAATTCACTGAAGAGGCCTTCTTTGGGTTGCGACTCTTAAAGAGAATTCAGAAACCGTTGCTAAAATGAAGGAGAACAGCAGATTTTGGAGCGCAGTCAGTCTTCGGTGAGGGCAGACTCTGTTTTTCCTAGATTGGAGACAGAAAAGAACATAAAGACGGTAAGGAGCCAGATCTGATAAGTTTAATATCACAAATGTCATCCAAAAAGCCTCTAGTAAATACTTCCCGTCTTACAGAACAAAACTGAGCCCAGTGCCTCCTGACAGGGCTTAGCAAACGTGCTTTCTTGGGTGTTTGACAGGCATATAGTCCAAACGGGTCATGAGTTAGGCAGTGTCTGTCTGTACTGCAGGATTTCTTAGATTAAATTTTTCTTGGTTAATAAGCCAATGAGCACTGTGACTCTTCAAGAAAGAGATACAATACGTAGCATTCCCCACATTTTGGGGGCCGGAAATTTACCTTCTCATAAATCACCTTGGCAAGACTACCAGGATTAGTGCTTTGGGACAACATATTTTGGGAAATGCTGCTTTACAATACCGGTTGGAGGGAACAAGGGTGTGATTAAGTCACTTTCAGTTTATAGTATATGAGCCCGTTTTTATAGTGGGAGTCACAGTCCCACACCAATATAATAAACTAACCATTCTAGCAGGATTCCATTGTGTTTCCCTTGCAATGTGCCATAATCATGGGCAACATTTAATGTTACGTTGGATGGGTAAACATTAATAATAAAAAATTAGCAATTTGCCCTGGCCGGTTTGGCTCAGCAGTTAGAGCATTGGCCCATGGACCAGACAGTCCTAGGTTCGGTTCCCACTAAGGGCATGTACCTCGGTTGCAGTTTGTCCCCAGACCTGGTTGGGGTTGTATGGGTGGCAACCACTTGATGTGTCTCTCTCACGTCAATGTCTCTCTCTCTCTTCCTCCCTTTCTTCCTCCTGCTCTATCTGAAGATAAACGCAAAAAATGTCCTCAGGCGAGGATAAAAAAAAAGTTAGCAATTTCCCATCTATAAACGCTCATGCAACCAGTGGGCATTCACAAAGAATATCCTTTGCATTTTTCTGATTTTCCCAGCAGACCTACAGCTAGGGTTTCAGGATTAAGCCCATCAAGATGTCACTACATATGAAGCTAAACCACAGATGAGAATGAACAGAGTAGATGAAAATATATTTTCAACTATTGAATAAAAGTCAAAGATTGACTTGACCAAAAGTCACAGAAAATTATCAAACACATACTAGTTAAATTCCTGAATTTCTCTTTGGCTTCTGCTCTTTCATCAGCATCAAAGTACCAAACAGTCATAGCATATCTGTGAAAGATAAACATATAAGAAAAGAGGTTTAAAAATACTACCAAAAAAATAAAAATGCATACTACAAATCTCTCTTCAATGTCATTTGTAAAGCCAACACTTAAAGTATTTCCCATTATTAGAACGGCATCCCAATTTTAATTTAAAATAAACTTCTCTGGTTTCAATTCTATATACATGTAATAAAATATGTAAAGAATTCCAAGTATGCACCAGGCATCCATGTGGCCAATGGGAGTTCAAATGATTGTGTGAATATATCTGCCACTTCTTCAAGGAGCTCAGCCTCTAGCGGGTCAGCCAGGCAATTTAACAAATAATGTAACAGGTTGTGTAATGCTCTATACAGAAAGGACTAGCCCAGCTGGTGTGGCTCAGTGGTTGAGCATCGACCCATGCACCAAGAGGTCACCGGTTTGATTCCCGTTCAGGGCACATGACCAGGTTGTGGGCCTGATCCCCAGTGGGGGGCGTGCAGGAGGCAGCCAACCGATGTTCTCTCTCATCGATGTTTCTCTCTCTCCCTCTCCCTTCCTCTCTCTCTAAAAATCAATAAAGAAAAAAATTTTTAAAAAAAGAAAGAAAGGACTAGAAGGGAATCATTCTGCTAAAGGCTGGGAGACCCAATTTGATGGGGAGAGCACAGAGAAGAGGAAGTGATTGATATCTGAGTGAGTGAAACTTACTTAAATGACAGGACACCTAAAACTCTTGGCTTTCTTTCTTGAGTTCTGGACACCGTGGCAAAGATGCAATGGAACGAAGACACCCTCAAGCTTTCTACTGCAATCTCAGGAATAAGCTTTATCCTATCTATGGGCTAGACTGGAAGAGGAGTCGTTTCACGTATCAGTCTTCAGTGTTTCATTTCATAATTATTATTAGCTACTCGAATGTCTATAGCACTCGATTTTTTTCAAGGGCTTCCCATCAACGTTCGCTAATGTTTCCTGTGACTCTGGCCATCAAGGAACTGTGGAATAATGAGGGAATTCTGGCACAAACAACAGGGTCCAATTATTGTACCCCATTAAACAAGCCACAAGCAGGCTTTGATGGTAGAATTAGTTACCTGCTCACCTGGAGCACATTCCAATTTGACATTTAATATGCGACTCTGTGTGGGGCACAGATCTGTGATTTCTGGAAGGGGACACATAAACCTTAAGAACTTTACACGTGTGGATGTAATTCAATGAATTTAATTTAATTAGGCTTGTTAAGGTTTAGTCAATATCCTTCTGCCCATGCTTTTACCCCCTGCCCCTGGCTGCTATTCCCAATTCAAGCTGCACCCCACAGCACTCCAGTCTGCCTGGTTTACAGCTTTGGCCATAAAACAAAGGCAAGTGAAAGACAGAATCCAAAATTAAGATTATATCAAGAGTTTCTAGATTAATACTAAACAACACTAAGTTGTTCAATTACTCTACAAATCTTCCCATGCATGATCGAAGGACAGGATTATTTTAAATCCAGTTGTTGGGATAGGATCGGTATTGTGAGTCCAAACCAATTTTACGCTAAGAAAAGGGTAAAAAATAGAAGTCAAACAAATTCCTCTTTCTTTTCTCAAGGTTCTTTCTCTGCTTTCAACTGGCAACTCCGAAACTCCTCCAGAGTTGACCCAACAGAATTCCTGGTGTGTGACAGCCAACATTCTCGGGAAGTAGTTTAACATTAGGTTTTTGAAAGGCGCGGTGGGGAAGAAAGGAAAGAAGAGAAAAAAACACCTTGGGAAATTTAGAATCCAAAAATACGCTCACCGAATGGAAAATGACTTAATAGTTCAAACTGATGTTAGGTATACTAAAAAATCCAAAACTTCCACTTTAAGAAAAATTAAAATGGCCCTGGCCGGTTTGGTTCAGCGGTTAGAGCGTCGGCCTGCGGTCCTGAGAGACCCGGGTTCGGTTCCCGCTAAGGGCACGTACTTCGGTTGCAGTTTGTCCCCGGCCCTGGTCGGTTGTGCGGGTGGCAGCCACTCGATGTGTCCCTTCACATCGATGTTTCTCTCTCTCTCTCTCTGTTCCTCTCTCTCCCTCCCACTCTACCTGAACAAAAAATGGAAAAATGTCCTCGGATGAGGATAAAAAAAAAAAAAAAAGAAAAATTAAAATGGACTCCAAATAGGTCTGCTGTTAGCTTGGGGGTATGGTTACTCCCTCATCTGCACAGGACACAAAGTCTAGAGAACAGGGAACTGAGGTGTGTACAGGAAACTTCTCCAGAGGAGCCAGGGCCCTGGCCGTTACCTGGTTGCATAGGAAGGCTGGACCTCATGTGGGTTCCTGCGGTCTGACCAGAAGAACAACAGTCTGTCAAAAATGGGTTCCACATCCGCTACGAATGACTTCCCTTCTGGAAATATCCGCAGGACCCCGCCGTGTAGCTGAGGGCCACAAAGAAGAAAGATTATTTTCTGGCCTCACACATAGTTCCTGAACAATGAGATTGAAGATTTGGCTAAAAGCAAAGCCATCTTCCAACCTCCACTCTAAGCATACATTACAGCCAAATTTTTTTACTTCAGTCTCATACTTTGTATTACATTTAATTTCAAAGTTGGCTAGAGCTATTTCCTTCATCATCTCATGCCAAAGGTTGCCTTCCCACCCCCACAATCATGAAGCCCATGGACACACCACGGAGTTCTATTAGGTCGACTCGTACAGAATCACCAACATGTGATAGACTTTGACCTACAAAAAGACCCCGGCAAATTCATATGGCTCATCTGACAGTAACAGCTTCCTAGGATAGTCCTCCCACGTAATAATCATCCCCCTTCAATTAGAATTTACAGCTTTCCTCTGCACTCCACCAGCTCCGATGTGGAGCTGTGACCTTGTTATTTTTCTGAACTTTAAGACCACATTATCTGTACCTTTTACTACATGTATTTCTCTCTCCGTTGAATTATTTTTCCATTGTACGTGCATGCCCAATGTATCCTACTAGAAAAACCAGAGCAAGGTGGAATTCAGGCCTCACACATCCATGTTTCCCCTCCGCACAATGCCAGGCACTAGCAGGCCCTCGCATATTTGCTGAATGATCTCATATTTTGCAATTTATCACTGACCTGACAACTTGACTCACTTGCCTATACCGGCACCTTTTAAGTTTTTAAAGGACAACTACAGGATAAATTCTAGTCCTGTTACCAAATAGGGAGAAGAGACGAGCCTTGCCGCTGATTCATTGGTTTCCCAGGTTTCCTTTGGCTGACCCCAGATAAAACATCCCAGCCCAATGACAGCTCGCATCTGCCCTAATGAACAGGAAATGGACACGCAGAAGGTTCAAAAGCCAAATAAGCTTGCAAAGTTCTGACTTCGCAGACTCCTAAATCATCCTTAAGTTTCAGAAGGCACGCGGATTCCAGACAAATGTTCGTAAGTGTGCAACCAGACTTCATATCTCTATCTATCTATATGTTCAGAAATACAAAAATAAACCATAAAGCCTTTGGCATTCACAAACCATAGTAAGCCATGGCAGGCAGCCACCAACGAGATGTATCACCCCAAGAGAGGACTGTGTGGGAAACCTCGCTTGGGATGGTTTTATATCCTACATTGCTATTTTTGTGGAATTCTCTCCATGTTGCTGCTGGAAGGGAAAAGTGTATATCTTATTCTGCACCGAGAGTCATATCAACTCTGGATTACACTAAAAATGGCAATCCCTAAAATAACAAATTACCTTCTCTTAATCAACCACTCTTTCCATATCTTAATAATGATCCTACCTAACCCCCATCAAGTCAATTTCATACCCATTATTTTCATCTCATCAACTTTAGTACTAATACCATTGGGAGGGATATGGAATAGAAGATTCATCAGTGGGAATTATGAACTCTAAACTCTCCTCTAAGTCATGCGACTTCTTTCCCTTTAGTTTCTAACCCCACACTCTATTCCCGTTATTCCAAAGTACCTTGGAATCCCAGTTCTTGTTCAAATAGTAGATGCAGGTGATGCAGCGGCCGTCTCCGTTGGGGTTGTCTACATGTCGAACATAACCTGTTCCGTTTCCTGGGTAGCAAGCTACCATTGCCTACAGAGAAATCCCAAGAAAGATGGTTAACAAAGCTAAGACAATCTTCTCCTCCCGGTGAACAGCTGAGTAACAGAGTCTCCTAGGGTACTATGTGACATTTATAGGCAGTTGCTGGCTTCTTGCACATACAGAACATAAATGTTACAAGATTTAATGGCCAAATTATATCTATGGCTCAGCCCAGTAGAAAGTGGTTCAACAATATTCCCACGGCTGTAGAACATTTTAGACAGTAACCCATAACCCATCTCATTAGGATGCCCACCTTTCTTCAATCTTACTTTTTAAAATAGCATGTTCTGGGTTCCCACCCGAGACCCACAAAATCAGAATAACCAAGTAGGGAATTTAGGGATTATGCCTGTTTAACAAGTGCCCCTGAATCATAGAATTACCCACTGTCTTAGAACGAGGGCTCAAGATATTTGTGTTTACAAAGAGGCAGAAACCAATCTCCAAGGAGGAAAGGTTAGGCTTGCTTAATAAAATGCTTAGGAAAGAAGGGAGAGGGAAGGGTCAATGGAGGCTTTGCCCTAACTTGTTAGCATAGAACCAGTCAGGTCCGGTTCATAGAAAAAGCCACAGCCTCATCTTATGTTTCTCGGTGTCTGTCTTCTTCCTATTGATAATTATTAAATCAGATGATAACCCTAAGTTCTCTTCCTTTTTCCAAGTGCTACCTGTATCAATCAAGGGGAGGGATAAAGCAGAAAGCTGTACTAAAATTTCTACTGAGAATTCCTATTTAGAGGGTAACAAACCTCTCATTGTTCCATGGAGAAATTAGAGCAAGGATTAGAAAAACAAAGGCAAAGTGCAAAAAGCTAGTTCTTTCCATGGACACTGCCATATTTTTTAAATATTTTTATAGAGATGAGCTATACACAGCAAAGATATTGGAATTGGCAACATAAGATCAGAAAAGGGATATTTTTCCTGTTTGGATCACTTATGTGTTATTCTCAGTGCCTGACACATAGAAGGTATCTGTTTAAAATCTGATCTAAATAAATGAATAAATTAGTGAATGACTCTGTCCTCCAAAGAGTATGTGTGTATTCTACGTAGATCATTATAGATTTTTATCATTTTGAAAACCTATCTTCCAATATACATGTAGCAATCCAGTTCATACTTTCTCTTGTAACTGGCAGGATTGTTGTATTGCTAAAATAATCAGCCAGGTAGAGGCCCAAACTAATGTGCTAGGTGTAGCTCAATGAATCAGCTTCAATGCGTGAGTGTCAAGTCACCCCCAGTGGTAACATGAAGACATGAACTGGGCATGTAGCTTTAAAGGCTTCACACACACTGCATGCTGACCTCATAAAAAACCATACCTCTAAAACAATAATAAGGCTGAATGGTAACTTGGCTTTATGGTGATCTTAAAGGTTAAATCACCGTATCTATCAAACTTTATATCCCTATACAGCTAGCAATCCCCACACCCTACACCTTTGAACATCTGAAAGGTCAATGCAATGTCATCATAGAGGTAAAGTTAGGCTGTTTGCTTGAACATCTTTCAGAAGGTGGAGTTTTGAGGTTACTGCAATCAAGATAACATGATGTTACTGCCAAGCAAAGAATGGTTTATGGAAAGGTGACAGGCAGCACACAGAAATGATGGGCCTAGCTGGGGAAGAAGAGATAAACGAAGTCACCTAGAATGACTAGGGAATTACCCATCCCTGAAAGCAGCTAGCTATTAGGATTACAGGAGACACCATTGAGCCAATAATGAAAGTCATTTAAGCCACAAATAATTATAGGCTGGATTCCCTACCATCTCAGCCTCTCCCCACCACAAAGCTCTAAAAAGAAAAAGCACTCCATCATTGCTACATAAACTTATATTCTCAACAGCTCAACTCTAAGGAAGAGTGGTCCAGATGCGTGTCATCTAGTTCACACTGCAATGAATCATGTGATCCCAGGCTTGAGTTCTTTTCTATAAAGAGGGTCTGGGTTACATGGCCTCCAACAGTTCAAGAAGATCTAAGACTCAATCTAAGCATCAACCCCCCAACAAAGCAAGAGAGAGAGCTCTTCCGGGCCTTATGAAGTACACATCTGCCTCAGGACTCAACTTAGATTCAAATATTGAAAAAATAGATACAAACTCACAAAAGTACATCCTTTATGAACTGCTGCATCTATAACACACACAGAAAGGGCAAGAACATTCCAGGGGACTTACCAGTTGGACAAAACCTCTATGTATCAGCAAAGCATCTATCTGATTGTTCAAGGGAGAGGAACAGAGAATTTTTCTGGCCAGAGTGACTCTTCACCCTTTCTCCTGGTTCTTGAAGCCTCTGCATCGAGTTTGAAACAATGGAAGGAAATCCCTGTGGACCTCAGTGGGCCCACTGAAACTTCATCCAGTCAGTTTTATCAGTGTTTTCTGGACAACAGCCATAGGAGATGGGTCTTGGCTGGGGCACATTCCCAGCCATTTGATGGTCTTTGGCACAGTCTAAAACGAGGAGACTTAGGATGCACTTAGAAGCAAGGAACATGTCAATAAGGAGTCACTCGTTTCTGTGCCAATTTGTGCACGGGGCAGAAACAAACCCCGGAAGCTAATTGGGTCAACTGAGTTGCTATTTCACCATCATCAAGCCCGGGAAGGGATTTAGAGTGTATTAAAGAGGAGACTGCTTCAAGACAACAACAGGGCCAAAGTACTTAATTATCAAGTGACAAATAGGCCAAATGATGACACTGACACAGAGCAGGAAGGTGTCTCATTTATCCGAGACTTTGTACTGTATTTGCCAAAACTCCGACTGGATTAGTATCTGAAATGTCAGTGTGATCTACAAAAGCAGATACAATATAGTCCTCTGGTTCCGTTGTGGGATAAAGCCACATGTGCCCTTCAGCATTCACCATTCCTTCCTCTCACCCAGCGTGGATCCCCTCCACCATCCTCAGAGGCCTCTCCATAGCTACACAGACAAAGGATGAACCCCTCCCAGGCTCCCAGGCTGGCTCCAGACCAAAGATATGTACTCTAGACACCAAGGCAGCCACGTTCAGGCAGGGAATCTGTATGTATTCTTAAAGACACACACAGATATATAAACTTTAACAGCGCAAATACACGTAACAAAATGTGCTCTCGAAATGCTACGGTGGGAAAGAAAATAGTTGTTCTATTAGAGTTATTGGTAAGTTGACTTCACCAAAAACAAAACAAAACAGATTTCATCAATCTCAAAGGTAAGTTGAAAAACGAAAGTCCGGGATTTCCACTCCAATGGAAATAGTGTTCTTGATTGAAACTACAGCTTGACCGCATGACAAACCATTTCAAAATACGGGTGACAGCAACCTCTACTGTCCATTCAGCAATGATAATCATTTTAGACTCACAAGGGGTATATCTGTCCCACCCCTGCCTCCAGTTAGGCTCACTACTTCTCTAATAACAATAAAAAACACAGATGTTTATAGAAATGCATTATATACCACTCATAATTTGGGAGTTAGATTCATTAGTATGACTTGATCTTGAACAAGTTATAGTAAAGTAAATGCTGTTTTACATAAACTTTAACTCAGCAAATTGAAATAGTAATCAAGTCTCACTTTCTTTGCAAAATATGTAATCAATGGGAATCCATTTTTTTAAATGTGGCAAAAATAGCAGAACTTCAAAGCTGTCTGTCTGAGTGACTTTTGAACTGCTGTTTTGGTCCCCTGCCAAATGCTAAGACCCCTCTAACTGCTATGCAGAAATACCAGCCGATCTTTGTAAGGATTTATTTTGAATTATGAAGGTCTTGAATACAGCATTCTTTTTTTGTACGTGCCCCTAGCGGGAACCGAACCTGGGACTCTCTGGTCCACAGGCTGACACTCCAACCGCTGACCCAAACCAGCCAAGGCAGAATACAGCATTCTTTGAATACAATGCAACCTAAGTACAAAATAACCTGCACATAACCTCTTTATACCTCAGTTTTCCCATCTATAAAATGGGTTTATGAGGATTGAAGGAGATACTCCTTATGCTGTTTAATGTTAGCTATTTTTAAAGCTGATGATATGCATGGTTTTGTTCCCCTCAACTGGGACTTCAGCATGTCTCCCCTTCAGGGATCTGATTCTACTTAAGAGCTTTGAAGCTTCAAATCCAGAGCTGGCAAACTCAAGCAGCTTTTAGAGCATGTGAGTAACATAAATAATTGAAGCCAACCATGTATATATGTATGTGTGTGTGTGTGTGTGTGTGTGTGTGTGTGTGTGAACTCTGGAGTGTGTGCTGTGCTATGCTACCCACACCAGGGAACTTATCCTCCTTTGCGATGAGGGCCCAGTATTACAAAATCCTCACATTTTAGGATAATAGCAGATAACCAAACTGGATTTGTGGGTAAACACTCCTGAATATTTTTATCCCACTTTTTAAATTAGGGCTACAAAAAAATACATCAGCCTATATTGTGAGATCACTGAGATCTCCTAAGAAATTGCGCCACCTTGCATTTGCTCCTGAGCTCTAAGTGGGCACCTTTCCCGTTCTCTTCACCAGGTTCACATGTTTGCTGTTCAAAGGCATAGCTTCGCCCTTCAGTGTCATCCACAGTCCACATGCCTCCCCCATGCCTCCCTCCCCATCCCCCGTGTCCACTCTGGACAAAGCAAAGGGGACCCAGGATCCTTCCCTCTCCACCAAAAGGCACTAACTACACGGAGAATTAGATGTGGAAAATGTTAAGAAATACACAAGACTATGCACCTTCTTTAGCTTAGAAAAGCCGCCAAGCAACTCGCATAGTGGAGAATGTAACAGCCGAAGTTTTCTGGCCAGAAATGGATCTAATTTATATTCGGGTGACAAGAGCCTAAGTGACAAACTTGCCGATGTTTCTAGTCAGCTGCGGGTGGTTTGTGTTCAGCTCATTTTTTTTTTAAATCCTTTTTGTTTCCTTTATTGATTTTAGAGAGAGAGGAAGGCCAAGAGAGATAGAAACATCGATGAG